ACCTTACTGAAGATAGTGTTTTGGCTACACCCATTAAATGTAAGTGGGCGAGAGATTGGGATGTGCAGAGAATGTATTGATGTATCCAAATGAACACCCCACTGTTGATTTTGGTGGGTTGATTGAAAATTGTACATATAAATGTGCGTGTGTGTGCGCGCGCATGCGTGCGTGTGTTTTGTTGGGTTTTTTTGTTTGTTTTTTCAGTTGTTTTTTGTTCTGATGTGCGGGTGTTGATGGACTGGCCCTATCTAACAAGCCCTAGTCCGAGCAACTACAACTACTACTACTGCTTCTGCTGCTGGTGATGCCGATACTACGACGACGGGTACGGCGACTACTGCTATTGCTATGACGACTACTGCTGTTACATCTACTACAACTATTTCGACTACGTCGACTTGGACTTCAGGGGTATTTGTTACCAGGTCATCTAATGCGCCACTACACACAGTCACTCACACACACACGCATGCATGCATGCATGCATGCATACATACATACATACATACATACATACATACATACATATACATACATACATACATACATACATACATACATACATACATACATACATACATACATACACGTGCATACATACATGCACATAACATTACTGTTTCTACATTTCTACTGTATCACTAGTGGTTAAAGCGTTGGCTCGTCACGCCGAAGACCCGGGTTCGAATCTATTGTCCAAGCTCCAGGATTCAGAACTCTGCGGCGCTGGGATGAATATATGCGAGTCAACAAGCGCAGTCATACATTACACCATTGCTGATACGCTTACATTGGCTGCCCACGAAACAGAGAATAGAATATAAAATCCTCACTCGCTTTAAAGTGCCTCCATGACAAAGCTCCAATCTATCTGAAAGATCTCCTCAGTGAATACTGTATAAGATCAAGTTCTAATTGTCAGTTGAATGTCCCTAAGGTCAGATTAAAGTCATATGGATATAGACAGTTCTCTTTACACAGCCTCTTTCTGGAACTCACTGCCTCCTTCACATCCGAATAAGCCGCGTCCGTGGAATCTTTCCAGTCCCAACTGAAAACTTTCCTTTTAAACAAGCTTATGAACTTTAATCCTTTCTTCAGATCACTTCTATCTTTTAGCGCCTAGAGAAATTGCCTTGCAGTTTGATTTGTGCGCTATACAAGAACACTTATTATTATTATTACAATGTGTGAAGCCCATTTCTGGTGTCCCCCGCCGTGATGTTGCTGGAATATTGCTAAAAGCGGCGTAAAACCAAACTCAGTCAGTCAGTCAGTCTACTGTATCTTTAGCCGAGTTATAAACAACACTGACATGCACGTACAGATAAACACAGAGAGGCTTCACAACACAACTGTTATCTGCTTTATGTGCGTTGTAGACAATACAAATACCGGCGTGATAAGATTATTGTTTACTTTTAATGTTTGATCAAAACCATCATAATGACATGTCTTAAGTTTATTTGAAACAGCGTTATGTAAGTAAATGGTGTTTATCCTCCATCCCCGTTTTTACAGCTAAATCAACTTGAATTCTGTTTAACACAAACGTAAATTGTAACGCTATTTGAAGTTAACACATGGTTTGTTAAAACATACATTTTTATTTACAACCTTAAACTCTAGAAACTTAAGTGTTGCCACGGCTTAGTCGTGTCTGTGCATTGCTAGTTCTTTGGAAACATGTTTTATATTCATCTTACAAAGGTAGTCGTTGGATTCAAGGCTCATTGTCGTGTTATTAAAACAAACGAATCCATGTTTTAATACGTATAATTCACAATATATGTGAAAGAACAATAGATAAATAGATCTCACAAATGCCCTGAGGTGTCCTGGGTGTTTTGGCATCTTTAAAAAACAGATGGGGACAACGTATTCACTTGAAAGTAAATTTGTTTATTTCAAACAAGATAATAAATAGAGATTCGATTGTTGTTCAGACCCTTTATCACCCGCGCCATGAAAAAATATTTCCTTCACACATGTATATTATTGTCTCTGGCTTTGTTCTCAATACAATCTAACAAAGCAATGTATAATCCTGGTAGAATCTCTGTCTAACATCAGTGTGCATGTGTAGGGGCATTGTTGTGTTCAGTAAACAGCTGATGGCGATTCCTGTCAAAGAGACGTGTTGACAGCGAGGGGATTTCATTCTTGTATATTTCAACAATATCGCCTGTCAATCTTGCTTTCGACCCACGCCATTTTCATTTGGCGCATCAGTGAGTATCGTGTGGGTTTATTTGGACCTGTCTGTCAATAGGATTTAGCCATGCGTGTAAAATATGTCGATTTGCGCTATTAAACTTAGTGTGTGTGTTCACGTGAGGGGTTCGGTTGAGTGCATAACATATATACCAGCGTGTCCGGTTGTGTGTAGGTATACACGTGTACACAATACATTCACTACATACATGGAATGGAATTTTCTGCGGGTTTTTTTAATCGTACGCGCCATTATACAGATCTGCATCATTGTAATAATGTACCCGTGAAGGTCCAGGTTAGAATATTGATCTTCAGTAACCCATGCTTGTCGTAAGAGGCGACTAACGGGATCGGGTGGTCAGGCTCGCTGACTTGGTTGACACATGTCATGGGTTCCCAATTGCGCAGATGGATGCTCATGCTGTTGATCACTGGATTGTCTGGTCAAGACTCGATTATTTACAGACCGCCGCCATACAGCTGGAATATTGGTGAGTGCGGCGTAAAACTAAACTCACTCACTCACTCATTGTAATGATGTTACTAAAATGTACAGGTACTTGTGAATTCACGACTGTATTCGGTCAGAAAATAAGGCTTCTTGACTTATGGGATGGGGTGAGAGGATTTTTAAAACGTTTTGTCAACGCATTAACACATGTCGGTTTAATGTTTAGACATTATAAATACATGTACATGAAGTCTGTGAATGGTGCGTCGACTATAGATTTACAACGTATATAAAGAGAGGGTTTGGTTTGGTTGTTGTTTAACGCCGCAGTCAGCAATATTCCAGCTATATGTCTGTAAATAATCGAGTCTGGACCAGACAATCCAGTTATCAACAGCATGAGCATCGATCTCCGCAATTAGGTCACCGGGTGAGCGAGCCTGACCACCCGATCCCGTTAGACGCCTCTCACGACAAGCATGGGTGGCTGAAGATCTTCACGGGTCTTGTACAGAGTGGGTGAGTTTGGTTTAACTCAGCTTTAAAACGGAAACAGCATTTCTTTGGAATGCTTAATGTGGGAGAAAAGTCCGAAGTAACGCAGGTAATGACGTTATAATGACCATTTTGAAAACCCACGTGTATTGGCATGGTGGCGACAGACCTAAAAGCGGACACAGCAAAGTGACCGGGACCACCCAGTCATCCACTCTAAAAGTGGTCAAAGTATAGTTAGGGGCCGAGTGGTCGTGAGGGACATTCAGCTTAGCTTCTTTCTAAAGGTTGAAAGTGCGAGAAGGTCGGAATGTCCCCATCGGTATTCCATACATAAGTATGTTTATGAATGTTAAATTGTGTGCACAGTCATTATGGCTAAGGCCCAGTTATCTCGACACTCCCAGAGGTCAGTACACTCATGACACAATGTGGACGAGTGTTTTATCACCGTCTCCCAGCCAGGGCACACTCTCTGACACCAGACCTTATGTTAGCATGGCCGAATATGACTAAAGATGATTGGGATCGTAAAATTTGAAATTGAGAAAAAATGTAATATTGATGTGAATAATATCAGACATGTTGAAATGTTGAAAGTAGGCCTCTAAGGTGAGTGTGTGAATATAATTTTAACCATTGGGGTACCCAGATAATAAGGATTCTCGTCAATCATTTATCCAACACCCTATCCGTCATGTCATGATAACCCAGGTACCAAGGATTTACGTGAATCACTTATCCAACACCCTAAACGTCATGTCGTGATAACCCAGGTACCAAAGATTCATTAGAATCATCACTTAACCCAGGTACGTCATGTCATGATAACCCAGGTACCAAGGATTCATGAGAATCATTTATCCAACACCGTATACGTCATGTCATGATAACCCAGGTACCAAGAATTCACGTGAATCATTTATTCAACACCCTAAACATCATGTCATGATAACCCAGGTACCAAGGATTCACGTGAATCATTTATCTAACATCCTAAATGTCATGTCATGAAAAGCCAGGTACTAAGGATTCACGTGAATCATTTATCCAACACCCTAAACGTCATGTCATGATAACACAGGTACCAAGGATTCACGTGAATCATTTATCCAACATCCTAAACGTCATGTCATGAAAAGCCAGGTACTAAGGATTCACGTGAATCATTTATCCAACACCATATACGTCATGTCATGATAACGCAAGTACCACGGATTCACGTGAATCATTTATCGAACACCATATACGTCATGTCATGATAACCCAGGTACCAAGGATTCACGTGAATCATTTATCGAACACCATATACGTCATGTCATGATAACCCAGGTACCAAGGATTCACGTGAGTCGTTTATCGAACACCATATACGTCATGTCATGATAACCCAGGTACCAAGGATTCACGTGAGTCGTTCAAACAACAATTTAGGCGTCGTCTTGTATAACCCACGTTGTATGGTTTCACAGTACTCGACAAAACACTCTTGGTACCAAGGTGTCTCGTGAATCGGTTGTACAACAATTCAGCTATCATGTCAGGATAACCCAGGTTGCATGGTGTCACGTGACATGACTATACAACAACCCAACAATGTGCGTTGATCACCTTCCGTTATGCTCGACTCAACGCTCTGCGCCAAGTGAAATACTTTCCCCCTCTAATCCGTCTCGCTTGGATAACTTCATATCCCTGTCTGTCTATTCATTTCCCAATAACATGACAGCATTTATATCCTCTGGCATTGTGTGGGTCTTTGTTGCCAAAGAATGTACCAACACAACATAACAGTTCGCGTCTTTAGAAGACAGCATTTGCAGGTTCGTGACCCGACGGAGTGTTAGGTTTGTTAGTGCCTGGCTACACAACTAATGACGACGGTCGTGTAAATATGTTTCAGTTCAAACTCACCAAACCAAGCGAGGATGAATCTGAGGCGGAAAACAGCAAGACCTCACCACAGACCAGGGTGAAACCTACGAGAAAATCTCGCCAGAATTCGAGTTCGGATCATGGGTACGAGAAGACACGACAGTCTGTTAGAACACTTCCCCCTCTGAAAGCGAAGGTACCCACTCACAAATGGCCACTTGGGCGTGCCTCTATCAGCGAAGGCACAAAACCATCCGGGAAACAGGTGCCAAGCGAGACTGATTCAGATGTGGACCCGAGGCGTGCTTCAGTCCCAATCCCTCAGAAAACCGGCAAAGCCATGTTCGCAGGGCTTGGAAGAAAGGTAACAAGTATGGTCCGTGCGAGATTAGCCTTCCAAGTAGGCGGAAAGAAACGAGACGAAATCATGAACTCTAACAGCATGGAAGCGATCCATGAGATGCCAAAGGTTCCTCGTTTCTCATCATTCCTTTCACCCGAGGCACAGTACGCTATGATGATGGGATATGAGGACGTTCTTCACAATCAGCTCAGCAAGTCCCATCCGGAGTACCGGTCGGTCCTGAGGAGGAACAAGACCCCGATGATTCGCATGGGAATCGTGAAGCTGAACCGCAAGAGAGGCACCTCCAGGACAACCTTAGATGTTGGTGTGGATGAAGAAGACTCCGACCCTGAGACTGAGACGGCAGCTGCAGCGCCGGAAGTGGACGATGATGACATGGATGAAATATGGAGAATTGATTCACAGAGCCGTTCCATGATGGCTCCCCTTGCCACCAAAGGATCGACGCAAAAGTCGTCCCGGAGGTCAAAGGCTCAGATGATTCCAATGGATCGGCGTCTGGAACTGACATACCGGATGGAGAGCGCCATGGACATCTTGGACACGCTGCGACGACGTCATGGTCAGCCTCCAATCTCGCCCCGAGTCCGGTCCAATAAACGAGACATTGCTCCTATCAGAGACTATAACTCCTGGACGAATGTGTGGAAGAGAGAGTTTTCCCAAAGTGACAAAAGGCACTCAGCTAAATTTAAAGTTTGAATTCATTTGTTTGGAAAGCGATCTCATGTTTTCAATGTTCAAAGGGGCTGTGGATTTTCATTGTGCGATGGCATACAAATGGATTTGAAGGTTTGTCCTGTCACGTTTGGTTAAAACTGACTATAAATGGAATATATTGCAATGTCAATGTATCGAAAAAAACAAATACTTGTTTTCGGTCAGCACAAATTCACCGTATCACTGATATGGTATTCACTGTAAATAATCATACATTCTGTAACTAAGGCATGCCATGGAAACAAAAGTCTCAAAACAAATACTAATGTTTCATATACCAACCGACCGATAAAGACTTAAACACATGTGTTCTGTTTCATCAGGGACGTATCAATGCATGCTCCTCTCATAAGACTGATTGTTTGCCTGCTCAGTATGAATTGCTACACAAGCTTATATGTAATGTTATATTTTACTCACGGGATTTTCATTTTCATTGCCGTGTTTTCCGATTAAAATTTGTTCTGAAATGATGTCTTAGTTTTGGATTTATATTTCGGGGTCCAGTGGTTAAAGGGCCCGAGCCATATCAAGAGGTGGTTGTTGATTTTGTTTCTAATTTTCCTGTCGTAAGAGGCGACTAATGGGATCAGGTGGTTAGGCTCGACGACTTGGTAAACCCTTGTCATCGTATACCAGTTGCGTAGATCGATGCTCATTGTGTTGATCACTGGATTGTCTGACCCAGACTCGATCATGTACACACCGCAACCATATAGCTGGAATATTGCAAGTGCGGCGTATAAACGATAAACAAACAGATACAATTCGTTGTGTCATGGCGACCTGTAACTAGTGGTTGATGCAATGAGCAAAGAGTGGTGATGATGACACAGTCAGTCAGGTCACACACTGCTACAACCCGTTCTCATTTATGTTAGGATCAAAGTGTTAGTATTTAATACGCAAATATCTCTCAAAAATCCCCATTGCTCGCGAAATCTTCAGCACACGTTATTGATATATACTCATACCAATAATGGTTGTCACCCCCTTTCAATTTTTTATTGGAGAGGGGTGTGGGAGGGTGTGGGTGTGTGGGGTTTGGGTGGGTGGGATGACAACCATTATTGGCATGAGGTGGGGAGGGGTGACCACCATTATTGGCATGAATATATATACACATATGCGAATCCAACATCCTTCCTTACAGCCAGGATTCAACAAGCGTGTGCAGTGAAATTTCAATTTCACATGTACAAATCGCACACCTGGCTGTTCTACCAGCAAGTGGTCCTCCCTCGTAAGAAATAGCGAAAAGTGACAACAAAATAATGATTGTTTGTTAAACAAACTTTTTATTCGAGTGTCCAAAATTATGAGACAAATCATCAGAGTTGTTTGTCGATTTCATGTGACTGTGCAAAGTTTGATTTTGTTGCATGTATTAGATTTTGGGTTAGTGAGCAATTCATCGGTCACAAATGACTATAGAAGTGACTAAAACCCTCTTACAAAAATAAGTCTCTCCAGTATTGAACCAGAGTTCCGACTGAGTCGAAAGAATGTATTTACGAATCACTATCGAACATTGATAGTATTTGGTGTTCCGGAAGAAGTGTTGGCTTCCTGCCTTACTGCTCATAAAACGTGATTACTCTTGTCGGGAACACCTGGTGTCTTCTCGGATTTTCAGTGGTCCATTCATATGACTTTCAAAGCTATTTACTACTTTATACCAAACTGAATCTGTTTCTGGGGATAGTCAAAGCTGGTCATTCTTTTGCACTTGCATTATATATTTACCGGTGGCACCAGTGATAGGCACATGCAGAGGAAAAAAATCACCTGGACAGTTATGGGAATATACGGTACGAGTCCAAATGCATCACTTTTGTCACTGATCCTATCTGGAAATGTCCTTTTGGAGGGGTGGGGTGGGGGTTGGTGGGCTTTACTAAAGCCTGGAATATTGTAATCCCTCTAAAAGCTTTAAATAACAGTCGCATGACGTTTTAATCTTCGTAAAAAGAGTCCACTTGCACCTTAAAAGTTAAAGGCACCTTAAATATATAGACCAAAGATTGAAGCTGCTGGATTGAAGCTCGACAGAAAAATGGAACTTGGCATGATGGAAAGTTAAAGTTGTCCCTCTTGTCAAAATAATTTCTGGATAGTTAACTGACATTCCCATTCATATAACTGAATGTGAAATGGATGTGGCATGTTTCCTGGCCTCTCTTTCATTTTTAGTTCCGGTGGGAAAATGAAAAAAGGGAATTTGCTTTTTGACCATTTTTAACGAAATCAGATCAACGATATATCTGAAAAAACTAATTGATATTCTTAAACAAATTCCCTTGAGTTAGCAGTCTTTTTCACAAAGTGAATTTTTAATACCTGCGCCGATGATGTACGTTCATGAATACTTAGGTTTCAATGAAATGAACAACCATCACATATATTGATTGCGTCAGATCATGACGTATTGATTACATGCGGTTGTTCTACAATCTGCTGCCAATCCATTGCTCCATTGTATGCCTTTTTCAAGTAATGAAGTATTCATCTTTATGGATGACAACTTCTTGTTTATTGCATAGTTCTATGCAATAATAAAGGTTGTCATCCATAAAGTTGTGTTTCATTATTGACTCACCAACTTGCCGATCAAACGATCGTTTTTCAAGTGTTATCGTAAATGTGATGTTTGTTGATTTGCTCCACTGATTTTAAATGTGACTCAAACTTAAATGTAGAATCTCAATTCAACGTATAGTCTAATCAATATTACATCGCTTCTCAAATGTAAAACTAAAAAGGACAATCAACGATTAAGGTGATCGTTATATATTCAGTAAAATTGATTAACTGGTATATTTATTTTACCATATTTATTTGTTATTATATTTGTTATTTTAAGAGTTGGGTGGGTATTAAACGTTGGTTGAACATCAGTTTGCTAATAATTATTAGAAACTCATCTATAAATTCATCTTAAAACCAGGGACTAATCAATACAAGAGGGCCCCTCAAATGTAAGACTTAAAGAACAATCAATGATAAGGTTGATCGTCATAAATTCAGTAAAACAGGTTATTGTCTATATACTTTTCCTGTTTTTATTTATTAAGTAATTTTGTTTTGGGAGGGGTGTATTCGTGGGGAATGATAAGTGTTGTTAGAATATCAATTTGCTGATCATTAGGAGTTTCGAGATTGATTATCTTCATTTCTTCCATGCTATTAGGTGACGTGTTTGTTTGACACTAAGGGACGGTTCATAATTTATGGCTAGGGGGGTGATGATGATTTTAAGGCGGGGTCACCCATTTTGTTCTGGGGAGGTAGAGGGGTCAGCAATTTTGTACACATGCTTCTGAAGGGGGCGGGGGGTGTTCAGCAATTTGGTACATAAAAATATGTTAAAATTATGCTTACAAAATATTGGAAGGGAGAGGGGGTCATTGATTTTGTACATGATATGTTGGGGGGGCACTTACTTGTACATACATTGGGGGGGGGTCATTTACATTGTACATGCTTCTCCATAACAATCATCATCACACACCCTGGCCATAACTTATGAACGGAAAATCAAATTGGGTATTGAATGTTAGAAATTTACTTTATCCATGTGTTTTTAGTGATAGTGATTTACTTTTGTCACAACAGATTGCTTGCCCGCCGTCATTTTATAATACAAAGATCAAAAGATATTTAAATTCAGACCTGAAATTCATCTTCAATACAGTCGCCCAAATCCACTTTTAGAGTTCTTTTAAATCCTTTTAAACACAGAGAAAATTCAAGTGTTCCTTTAATATTTTCCAGTTTTCATCACCAGCTTTGAATAGCGCTATGGGAGGAAACCCTGAGAATATATAAGGAGACACTGCCATGAAGTGGTGTTCCCTTATTTGTTTCCCTCAGTATATCATCAGGGCAAGCTGGGATTCGAACCAAAGATCATTGGTGTCACTTACGCCTCTAAAGGTCGAAACAGGGCGCAGTAAAACCTGACGCAAACACACAAATGTTCATTAAATCACCAATATACATGAACATTACAACATACAATTCGACGTACACATGTATACAGACACACACATAACGTACCAAGACATAAACTGGCATACTCCTGTATAAACTGATACGCATACGTTTCAATTCTAATCAACACAACCAATCCAAGCACAAGTATCCATGCACATATTCACACCAAGAATTTATTAAGATATTCAGTGGATACTCAAAAGCACTATGCTGTGCCTGTACATACGTACGTGTTGAAAACTCACTAAAGTATACAAGTGTTTGATGGTAGCTAGAACTGAAACAAAAAGGAATGATTATCCAGTGATGATATTTGATACGGGTCTCTACTCTATGCAGCATATCAAAATGTGTCTAGCATCAGGTGATGTGCAAATGGGGACAGAGAGATTGTTGTTGGTTTTCTAGTTTGTTGGGTTTTTTGATGTTGTTGTTTGTTTGTTTGGTTGGGTTTTTTTGTTTTGTTTTTTGTTTTTTGGGGGTTTGTTTTTGTTTGTTGTTGGTGGTGGTTTTTTGGGGGGTTGGGTTTTTCTAGTGTATAGTAACTGTATACAATTAACTACGTTTATAACGAATACGCTTATTACGAACTAACGGATATAACGAACTTTTATAAGCAATATAAGTCTTTGTTGAATGTTGAAAAATACTTGTGTTCTCACATTCCAGTGTATCTAATTATGTCTTTATCAAGATTTAGATGTAGCAACTTTAAGATAGCAGTAGAAACTGGAAGATATGGCAATATTGAACTAAGAGAAAGACTTTGTATGTACTGCAAATCAAAAGGTCTGGATCATATTGAAAATGAATGGCATGTCATATTTGTGTGTGGTTGTTATAAAGATTTAAGAGTCAAATACATTGCTAGATATATACAAGAACCCTACACTGTACACACTATGCTAAATCTGTTTCAAAATGAAAGTTATGATGTTATGTACAACATCGGCTTGTTTTTGTACCATGTTAACAATATTGTAAATTCTAGAAACAAATGAGTGCTACGTATACCTTTTTAAATCATGCGCACGTGAAAGATACAAAAAAAACTATTATCTGTATGTATTATGGGCCAGTGGCCTCCTTACTGAATAAACTGCCCGTCTGTCTGTCTGTTTCGGGGTCCAAACCACTTATTGTATATATTAGTCAAAATGCTTAGTGCGAACTACCTTGATATCGAACTGAAACAAGTGGTCCTTTTGAGTTCGTTATAACCGTAGTTTGCAATACTTTCTTTTTGCCCGGCAATATTCATATCACTTTGTTAACTTCATGTGACAAAACAGCTACGAACTAACCTTTAACTATTCGACATATGGGTTAATACAATTTAACTTTGAGGACAGTGCAGGTAACTACTAGAAGCACTACTGATAAATCGATGTACTCCGATACTCGATTGCTGGGAATATACTTCTACTAATTAAGAGACCCAGCAGAGATTATGTGGGGGGTGTATGGGTACGGTAGA